GCGGGGGGGGGGGGGGGTGCATTGCCAGACAGAGGGGAGCTTTCTTGGCCCCTTTCCCGGAGTTGTCTCCAAAAGAAGCGCAGATTCAGGCTTAACCGCGCCCTATGTGCTGGAGGGGAGGGAAGGGGTCTGAACCTCCCCTCCTCGCGCTCGTCGCTAGCCTCCTTCTAATGGTTGCAAGTGCTGAGACCTACCCGCGCGCGCCAGGAAACTCGCAGCGCCGGGCGCGCCGGGCTGGGCTGGCCTCAGCCATTGTCAGAGCGCGGCTCCTCCTCGCCAGGAGCGAACGGGAGAGAATGGGCTCCCGCCCGGGGGGACGCGCCCCGCCCGGCACCTGCAGCCCAGCGGGGGCTCTGGCGGAGAACCCGGCCCCGCTGCGGACTGGCATTTGACAGCGCCGGGGCGGGAGTTCCCGCTCCCGCTCCCCCGTGTGGCCCCTCGCGGGGGAGGGGCTCTCTCGCCGCCTCCGCGCCTCTCGGACGAGCCCGGGACCTGTTGGACGGGGAGAGGGACCCAGGTGCTCTGAGCCCGCTCGCGCAGCTCCCCCCCCCCGCCTTCGGCTCCAGCGCCTGGCCGCGGGGCAGGGTCCGGGGGCATCCGCTGGGGGGGCTGGCCCTCCCCCCCCCCCACACACACCCGCTCTGCTGCCGCTGTGGTGCTGCCTGGTCTGCTGGCGGCTCCCGGCTGAAGGTGCTTGGCTCAGACAACTCGGCGAAGCAGGAGGGGCCGCCGCTTCCTTGCTGCAGCCCTTTGCCTGCCGGCGAGGGGCAGGGCGCGAGCTCCGCAGCCCCTGCCAGCCCGCGGCGCGCGGCCTGGGGGGGCTTGGCTGGGGGCTCGGGAGCCTGCGAAGGGGCTCGCGCCGGGCATCCAAGCGGAGCCGGAGACGAGCCCAGCCTCAGCCCTTTGGCGCGGGAGCGGCCGGCAGCCTTGACCCACCCGGCTGCACCTGCTCCCTGCTCGGATCATGTCAGCTAAGGTGCTGGTGCTTGTCCTGCTCCTGGCCGTGTTTCAAGCCTGGTAAGTCTGCGCCGGGGCGCCCCTGGCAGGGTCTGTCGCTCAGGCCGGAATAGCGGCCCAGAGTTGGGGAAACATTTAGTCCGGGAGCCCCGGGAGGCGACTTGCCCCCTGCCTTTCGCCCCCCTCATGCTCGGCAATATTTGTATCGGCCCGCCCTGCGCTGTAAGCAGATCAGCTAGTTAGGATCAACCCCCCCCCCCCTCCCCCAGCCCGCGTTAGTCCTTACACTTGGGCGGGTTTGTGTGCGAGTCCCGAGTTGCCAGGCAAGGCTCGGGGGACTGAGGCGCTTCTGCCAGGGAGCTGGATCAAATCTCTCCGCTTCACCGGGCTCCGCAAAAAAGTTTTCCCCTTACTTCGCTTGGCGTGGAATGAACCGAGCCCTGACCTCGCCTTGCCAGCTGCGTCCTCGCTGCAGCTGGACCCACTTGACAGCCACGGCGCGGGGCTTTTCTGGCCGGGCGGTGTGAGACTGGGGCAAGACTAGCACTGAATCGGCGCGGGGGGAAGGGGGGCAGGAGTCTCCGAAGTACCCTGCTGCAGGAGAGGGAGCGACAGGACGCTGTGGCTGGAGGCAGGGGAGGCTGCCTAGGGGAGGGTCAATCAGACAAGCTCAACAACCAAGCCCCCGAAAGGCTCGTGCCAGCTTCTCCAGTTCTGTCACTGCAGCGGGTGCGAACGGGTCCTCTCAGTGTCTGGGCTTGGCTGCATTTCTTGCCTGAGGTTATCCGGGGTGCGGGGCTCCTTCGATCACAGTGCTACAGGGCTAGCAGAGCACCTTAGCGATCACAGCACAATCCACTGCGGAGCCATCGCTCTGCAAATGTCATCTCGGCACGACTGTGCCGTTTGTGAATAAGCCCCAGTCCCGTCTGTTGGGGGCTCAACCCCAGCCGGCCCTGCCTCCGAGGAACAGCCCCTTGCTCGCCTGAGTGCCAATGAGATGCATTGGAGAACTCCAGGAAGAGTTACTCAGGTGAGCAGGTTTTGCAGAATCGGGCTCTTCAAAGGAAGTTCCGGGCACTCAGCCACTCCGAGGATCAAGCCCTGAGAGACGGGAACTCCCTCTTGGGGGTGATCTTTTAAAACGAATCTAGAGTATTAAAGAGGAAAAAGGGGGCCATGCAAGGACTCTCCAGGAAGCTCTAATGAAGTGAGCTGGGGTTAACCCCCTCCCATTGACACCGCAGAGCTGTAGCGCAAGCTGCGCAGCAAATACTTTCCGTTTCAACTGAAAAAGTCACTGGCTAAGTTTCGGTAAGACCATTGCGTCTCCCATGGACCGCTGGCTGGGCAAACTGCCAGAGGCATCTCCCTTTAGCACAGCACGCTGAAAGACGCAGACACGTTTGGAGTTAACTTGCTGTGTCTCCCACACAATCTAGTGCATAGTCATTTTCCAGGCTGGAATACTGAATTCCCGAGTAGGGAAGATTATCAGACTGTTTCTTTGTAAACCGAACAGCGAGGGTGGCGCGGCTTCTCAAACCCCTTCTGAGCTCACCTCTCACTATCTGCCACTCAATCCCCACAGAGGCAATTTCCCCCTCCCTATTCCCTCTTCCCGCAGCCCATGGTTACCTCATTGTTTATTAATGTCAGCTCTTCAGAGCAGATGGCAAGCTCTAGAAACTGAGGCTGCAGACAACTTTTACCAGTTAAATCTTCCTACAGCATTTCAAATGTGTTTTTTTGGGGAGAGGTCCCCCGTTCTTTTGTTTTCCAACTTTTCCTCTTACAGAAAAAAATCCTCATGTTGTAGGAACTTGAAGGGGTGACAGCTCGGCTTTCTATTGTATCTAGAAATCAGTCCCTCTTTCTCTGTCACTATTGAAAAGTCTTGGAATATGATTGTGGCTCCTTGGGAGTGGGGAACTAAGCAATTTTGTTAGGGCAATGCATCCTACATGTTTAGCAGATGCCTGTTGGTTTAGAAGCACATAAATGAAGGCGATAAAAGTGCTTGTAAAGATTTACATAATGCACAACACTGCAGTTAGCATGAATTATTCTGAATATTTTAGTTACCTCTCTCAACCCCCATGTTGCAATCGAACATCTAGATGAAAACACAAACCTCCAGAATGTCACTTTCTGGGAAACAATCTACTGGAGCAAGAAGATTTAAAGGATTAGGAAGTGTTAGATTATTGTTGATTATTATTTTTAAGGAAGCTATAATCTTAAATGGGAACATAGCCCTCATTTACACTCATTCAGCCTGATTTCTTCTGTGGAGTTGCAAGGGTACAGCTCAGGACAGAATTTCCCCCCTTGAAAATACCTAGTTTTCAATGCAGATCATTAATTGTAGGACACAAGAAATATGTATAAAAATAGTATGTGTTTCAGAATGATTCTGAAAAATGTTAAGCCAAATATTTGTAATGTATCAGGGGTTTCATAGAAAATAAATCTTAGACTGAGTGATGAAAAAAAAAGGAACTGAAAGATATAACTCATGCGCCAGGAAAAAAAAGTTTCACCATTAAAAATGTGTCCTCCTATTTTAGCTTCATCCTACAAGTCTTCCACATATAGAACTCCCAGTGGCTCCATTTAGAAATAATTGTATGTAGACTTGTGAGCAGGAAAACAACTCCCCTTCTCCCTGCAAGTCTTTTACATATGGTATATTCTTTGAAGGATTATTATTCACTATGATAATTGTAGATGTTCCTTTATGTATACATAGTGCCTATCAGAGGCAATCTGAACAGTCTAGACATTTAAACCATATAAAAATAATAATCCAATATACACACCACTCCTAAAGTACTCCTGAATCTATCAAAGAAGAAGTGAAAATAACTTGTAGGTCTAACTCAGCTCATCCTTTCATAAAAAGCTTGAGTAAAAAGTTAAGACTTGCAATATGCCCAGAAGGTCAATACATTAGTATTGAATGGGCAGGGGAGAAGACAAGTTTAAGAGTCTATAGGCCTTGTCTACATTGGGAGCATGACTGATGCAGCTGTATAAATATCTTTAGTTCTAATCTGGGCAAATCTCTAGTATAGCTGTGCCTTATGCATCTGATTCTCCATTGCTTTGCACCTTGTGTAGTCCTTCACACTTTCCAAAGTGGTGTAAAATTACATCAAATTGGAATGGCAGTATGTAATGTAGAAGACAATGGAGACCATTGAGATATTCTTCCAGCTGCATAAATGCAAATCTCTTGTTCCAGGGAGTCTCAAATGTGGTGAATAAATTAAATATGGTCTCTAAAATATAGAAACTCAAACCATAAAAGACTTAGAGAGTGAAGTCAACATTTGGCATTGTACTCAGAAAGCAACTGGTAGGACAGATGCAAATAATTCCCATGTGTAAAAACACTGTATGTTGTGCTAGTCAGGGATGCTGGAATATTTTTTATACTGGGGGGTGCTGACATCTACTGAACCAACCTTTAAACCCTGTATATAAAGGAAACCAGTTCAGTCCAGGAGATGTCACTGCCCCCCATCCTCCCACCTCTAGCTCCTGCACCTGTGGCACTAGGTGAAGTTTGTGGACAATTATTAGTTGTCAACTTATTTTAATGCCTTACTCACGTAACAAAGATAATCTACCTCTTATGGAAAGAGGAACCTTAGCTCCTGAAATGCCCAGAGTGCAGAACTATAAAAACAGAATGGCTTAGATTGTGAGATTCAGATTTACACAAGGCATTTTTGTACTTGAGAAAATCTGTATTACATTCAAGAAGCATGTTCTTAATTCTAACCCTTGTACCACATTAAGTTCTGAAATTCAATATCATTTATTAATAGGATGAAATGATCAGGAAGTATTAAAAGAGCTGAATTTTTAATATTCTTATTAGCCTGCTGTGCACGAGATGAATCAGTTGTGTTGAAGGAATCAGTATAATACTGCAGGATGTTCACCTACCACAGAATTCTGTTACCAGGTAGCCAGTTAGCTGTCAGTTAATAGGTTACTTTTATTTTTATTTTTTTTAAAGTTATCTAGTCTGCTACCTGTATTAATCCACAGAAGTTCCAGTGATAACCAGTGGAGTGGGATGGATTATATAATTATTTCCAATTAGTGCCCCCTACACAGACTCTTACTTCTGGCAATAAATACATCTTTTAATAAAAATATTTCTAAAATTAGATGAAACAGAATAAAGAACTTAAACTCTTTGAACTACTTGTTGAGATGAGTCAATATAAATTTATGTAACATAACATTTGATTTTTTTGTATTGCAGTTCCAGGAAGGTTGAAGAGGATGAATATGAAGATGTAACAGGCAACCAGAAATGGGTATTAGCTCCAAAAACACAAGACACAGATGCGACTCTTATATTAAACAAGTTGCTGAGAGACTATGACAAAAAGCTTCGGCCAGACATAGGAAGTGAGTCCTCATTTTCTTTCTGTAGAAAATATACAAAGGTATCCAGCCTGAAATATTTTGTGTTTCTATTAATAGTGTTCTTGATTTGCAAAGTTAAGATTTAGATCCAAACTCTGACCACGTTCAGGAATGTTCAGGCATTTGGTTCAGGCTTGGTTCTAGTATAGACCATTCATCCTTGCATTTTATAGCTGTTTACAAATACTAATTCTCACAGTAGGAAGCTCAGCTTGATCAGATGTGTTTTACAACAGGACAGTTTGGTGGACAGCAATATTAAAATGTTTGTCCAGGATTATAACTGGTCATTGGCAGAATCAGGGATATATTTATTTCCATTCGATCACACAAGACAAAAAAGCTCTCTGGCATCCTGACAAATGATTAAAACGACAGTCCACAAAACTATCAAAAACAGCAAGAGAAGCCTAGTGGACTCATATCTGGCCCCCTTCCAACTGTGCCGTAAAACTACATAAGTTCCCTTGTGAAGGGCCTCCTGCAGATGAGAAGGAGGGGGCTGGATTTACCTCTGTGAAGAGGAAAGGCAGCTTGTGGGGAGTTTCCTAAATTTTCCAATCAGAAGCTAGAAGAAATGTCTCCAGGGTGATCAGATGGAATGTGGGAGTCTAGTGGCAATATGGATCTATTATAGGAATTGGATTCGAAAAAACGCAACAGATACCTTTCTTTAATCAACTATTTTCACTCATTTGTCAATGAGCAGGATCTTTTCTTCCATAACACAAGATGTATAGTTCTATCTCCCATTTTATCATTCCTTTGGTCATAACCTTTGAGAGAGGGAAATAAAGAGTCAGTTTCTCTTTTTCATTTCCCTCACCTTATGTATGGGCAGAGGAACAAAAAGGGTGAGGGAATTAACCTTAAGATGTCCAACTGTGCATGCTCTGCTACTGATAGAGTTTTACAGAGAGATCAGGGAGATAATCCCTAGCCCAGAGTACAAACAGAACAGAAATATGGTGACACCAAGCATATTTAATCTGCCCTCTAAAAGTCCTCCCTTCTGGACAGTTTAGAGATGAGTAGGAGCTGCCTATTGTTATAACAAATGCTAAACAGCTAGGCAGTAGTACAATGTTAATAAATCTATCCTATGCTGATAAAACATCTCTACATAGGACTCTTTAATTAGTAAGTACAGTTACATTTTCATCATGCTGGCAAGGAGCACAACTGATAGAAGTTTGTGCTTTTGCTGTACAGCAACAGTTAATCTTTCCATCTCCCTAATTTACTAGACAGGTTTCAGCAAATCTTTGATACCTGATGGAGTCATGTTCTTCTGAGCTGCAGTGAGAACAAGGTTTCCAGCTAGCAGTAACATCTACAAGAAATGCTAGGGACTGATATTTCAGTTTGCTCTGTACAACCTGTCCTCAGATCAGCAACTTTGGAGATAAATCATCTCTCTCTGACACAGACTTGAACAGGATAAATTATGGGATGCTTCTGGGGGCGAGCTAATAATTCAGAATCCAGGAATGAGTTCTATAAGATTAGTAGTGGTCGTATATTTTCTACAACATTGGAAAGGTCATTTAGTGCCAAAATAATTCCCATTATCTCTCCCTCCAAACAGTCACAAATCTTGTTTTCGATAAAGCAGTTACATTACTGAGCACAGGATAAAGCATTTATAGTTCTGGAATCTGTTGGTTGAGTTTATGTATAGGATTACCATAATTTCAGTCCTGCAAGTAAGTGTTCCCCAGTCATTAATTAACTTATCACAACACCGCTGTGGTGGAGGGAAATAATATTGCCATTTTATAGGTGAAGACTTGTGGCGCTTGCCCAAGGTCAAACAAGAAGCCCCAGGGAAGATCAGATATTAATCCCAAACCTCATGCATCCCCTGCCAGGACTGCAATATCACCCCTTCCTCTCCCACGGAGCACAGTAACGAGTGGCTTTATTGAGCTAGAGAGTACAATGCTCCTAATTTCCAAAGCGTGAGAGCTAAGGAAAAGAACTAACCTAAATTTTCTCTCACGAGCTTCCAGAGATGTAAACATATCACTTGAGATAGATAAATGTTGTATATTAATCTTCCTACCTTAACTGAGGCATCTGTATCAAAATGGTATTTTGGGGGAAAATACATTAGACATCATGGGGCATAAAAGAGAAATCACAGTTTGGAATACTAAGAAAAAAATTGCGGTACGTAAGATACCAACTATACCACTGAGTTGAAAACAATGTTTCGTAACCAGGCAGAAGTTCAACTGCTGATAGACACAGAGTTAAATCTTGTACTGAGGTCCAACAGACTACTCATTAGCAGGGCCGGACCGAACCATTCCAGCGCCGCGGGCACACAGTTGAATTACGCCCTGGGTTGGGGGAGGGCGCATGCGCAGCCCCACTCCCACACTGGCGCGTGGGGGAGGGCGCGTGGAGCTGGCGGCGACAGGACACATGTACCCAACCCAGCCCAGACTGGCTAGCCCGGGGCCGCCCAGGGCAGGCCGAGCCTGGCTGTGCAGGGCCCAGCGGCCCCGGGGGGAAGGGCGCTGCTGGCCAGTGCTGCGGGGGTTAACGCTGCCCCCACCCCGGATGGCTGCTGCAGGGTGACCACTGAGAGCTGCTGCAGCCTGCGATCTGGGAGCCGGATGGGCGGCGTGTAATGGCAGTTATAAGGGGTGCTGAGCCCCTTACAGCTGCCATCACACGCCCCCCCATAGGTTGGCGCCCTGGGCAGCTGCCCAGCTAGTCCATGCCTTAATCCGGCCCTGCTCATCAGGGCTTTCCATTTGTTCAACATTTCCTGTTTTTAATGGAGCAGCAGCTATTCACCAATCTATGCAACTTTTGCTCTGCATTTGGTTTTTCTAGTTTTTTTACGAGTCCAAGGTTTTTGATAATGGAGGCTTAAAATTAGGCTCTTAAACAGGTGAACTGATTCTCAAAAGTGCTAAGCACCCAGCAGCTCCCAGGGAAGTTAATGAGAGCAGCTGAGGGTTGCAACACTTTTGAAAGTCAGACTATGTCTTCAGAGGTCTGTTTAGGTCAGGGCTGGGAAAAATATGACTTGCAAGCCTGCTGGATCTGGCTCCCTGCTTGCCCCTCCTCCCTCACGCTGCTCAGAAAATATACTGAGGAGCCCTGTTTGTCTTTGAACAGCTGTGAGCCCAGGGGGAGGGGTGGAGAGGCTTTACATGCTGCCCTCGCCCTCAGCATAATCCCATTGGCTAATTTTCAGGCCAATGGCAGCTTCCTGCTTGAAGAACAGACACAGTATGAAGCAGCAGGCTCATAGACCCACATGACCCCTACAGCCAGTGCAGGGTGAGGCAGGCAGGGAGCTCACCTGCTGGGCTGTTGGCTGGAAGTCTCCTAGGTAAGTCTCCTGAACAGAACCTGCTTCTGGCACCCCAGGCACTTTCTCCCCAAACCCTCTTTCCCCTTTTCCTGCACCCATACTCCCTCCCAGACCCTGCACTCCAATCATATGTCACAACCTCCTCCTGCCCTAGGCCGCAGCCAAAATTCCAACACCCCCTCTTGCACCTCCATCCCCTGTTCCAGATTGCATCTCCATCTTTCACCCAAACTCCCTCCCAGACCTCACACTGCTTCTGCCCATGGTCTCTGAGGGTGTGTCTAGACTACATGGCTCCGTCAACGGAGCCATGTAGATGAGTTTACTAGACATAAAGGCATAAAGGATCTGATGACAAAGGGTTCTGGGGTTGGCTGATCCCCATCTAGACTACCGCGCTGTACCAGCAGTCAGCTGATCAGCACAGCGTGGTGGCCATTTTGATGTCAATGAAGCGGTGATTATTTAAATCGTCACTTCATTTTGCTATGTCTAGTAAACTTATCTACATGGCTCCGTCGACGGAGCCATGTAGTCTAGGCACACCCTGAGTGCCCACATGACATACTTCAAGTGTTTTAATACTCAAACAGTCACAGTGCATCTCAGCCAGGAATAGCACACTTATTAAGTGTCCTGAAGGGAATCTGAAAGCACAGGAGGCTCACACTGTTGGCAAGTATTGGAAAAATCACTATCTTTCCAAATCCACCTTCAGTGCTTCCAAAGATTTGGGTTTTAACTGTTGTATTGGACACTTCCCATTATGTCATAGAAAAGTAATTGTATTCTGGGAAAAAAAAGTGTCTCAAATTAACAGCTTGTACTAGAGGATTCATAGAAGTGTTTAGCATCTGGGCCACACCTTTACTATCAGTCATAGTCACTGGACTAATGATACCAGCTCTGGGGCAAGCTATTGTTGCAAATTGCACCAAAGTCCAGAAGCTGGTGCATTGTCTCTTACCTGGAAAACTCCTCTACTGTGCTCTGCTGCTTCTCCCACAACCAGACATCAAAGGCCTGCTCCAAATTCCACTGAAGTCAAAGGAATGCCTCATTTATTTCTGTGAGCTTTGCATCAAGCCATAATGGCCAGATTCACAAAGGGACTTAGGCACTACAGTACTTCACCCATAGGTGTGCTGTTGCCTTGTGGAATTCACAGTCCCAAGCTTGGCAGAATAGTTCATATGTGGGGGACAGTTGGGCTTTTAAAAAGGGAATTCACAGAAGTCAGCAAGTTGTTTTGGATCAGGGATACAAATCCTGGTCTCCTACCTTCCAAGTTGTCGCATCTAGTCGGG